CACACACACACACACACACACATAAGAGGGCAACAGCGGACAACAGAAAAACATGAGAACTAATATAAATCTAGAAATACAACAAAACTGGAATTAAACCAATAAATCTAGAAAACAAGGAGCAAAGTAAAGAACAGCAGAACCAAGACCATGACAGCTACATTAATTTATTGGGGATCCTGTAAGATTAAATCATTTGATATAATAGATGTGATTAATTGTTTTGTTTCCAACTGTTTTATTTGCCATGCCAGTAGTTTGCCCGCTTTGTTACCCTGTTCAGAAAATGTTTGAGTCGCAAAAGACTTGCTGCTGCAATGGAAGCTGAATACTTGTCATATTCTGCTCTCAAAACCAATAATTCCTTTTCTAGGTCTGGATGATCCAGCAGGAGTCTGGCCTCACTGATAAACCCACAGAGAGAAAATGCAGTCCTGCTGTTATCCCAGGTTTAACAGAAACACTCCCACTCTGGCCTTATATGGACATATGGGATGGGACCCGGGTAAAGACAGAAATATTGCAGATAGGGTGAGATTATGGAACAATATGCCAGATTAGAGATGAACAAAATAAATTTTCTGTTGGGATTGTCCAACAGATTTCTTTAGACTTGCAAGAGTTTTATGGCACATTCTAATCAATAGGTCTGGTTCTTTGCCTTAAGCAACAGAAACTGGACCTTTTTTGTGTGATTTCAATTAAATTCACTTTGATTTATTTTCCTTTATATATATATGATTCTCAGAAATGAATTGTTTGATAAAGTTCTTCATGTTTCAAAAGCCTGAAATCTTTAACTAAATAAACTTAATGTTTGAAGGGTGTTCATGTTTTTCTTTGTCTGCATCTTTGATTTTGTTTGTGTGTCTCCTGAGCCCATAGGGGCTGGGAACCTTTTACGATGTAGAAATAAATCCTGGATCCTTGTTCTGCTCTCTCCGGGGCGCTCTGACGGTAAAGCCCACCTTCGCTCCTAAATGTTGCACCTGGAAAGAGTTTGAGTCTAGAAATGATGGGTTTGATGTCCCGTTTGTTTCTTGTGTAACTTTCAAACATGCAGAATGATCCATCTTCCTGTGGGTGTTTGTGTATAAAGCTGCAGCTCAGCGGTTTTCCCTCAGGACCGGTTTTCAGGAAACGGGAGGGAGGGGTGGAGGAAGCCCTAAAAAGAGTCGCTCCGGGCGAGTTGGACACCAGTAGACATGGAGGTCCGACTGCATTTACAGCTGCTGCTGGCTTCTCTGATGGTGGCGTCAGCCGCATCACAGCAGGTAAGAACCAAAAACCAGGTTCTCCTGAACACAATTCTGCAGGTTCTGGAAGATTCTACAGCTGATGATGATGATTCTGTTTTCTCTGATTAACATTTTTCTTCCTCAATCATCTGTGAAATAAAAGTTCATTTATTTTCTCGTCAAGAAGCAGAAACATCTCAGCTTCACTGCATTTTAAAATGTAAAGTAGGTTCTTCAGAACCAGGAAGTTTTCCTGCTGGGAATGCTTCTCTTTTCACGCCAAGAGCTGAAGAATTCCAGGAGGTAGCCTGCACCGGTCTCACCGAACACATGTTCTCTGTGTCTGAGGAGGACAAGGCCGCACAGCAGCTGTACCCTCCTCCTTCTCACCCAGAACCTTGATGAAAATCTCTGGATTTTCCTGAAGAAGATGTGACCCTGAAGGTAGCAGATGTTCCTTAAAGTATTGGAATCTGTGCTGCTTTGAAAGAAGAGGAGATCCAAGCCGCCTGCCACCACCGTGCTTTACTGAACCGCCTCTGGTCCACCTGCCTGTCCAACAATCCTGAGATCTTAGGGTGTGGTGTTCAAGGAGCTTCCTGGCATTAAGGTTGGAGGAACCCTGTAGAACCTCCTCAAGATTCTGGGGGAGGTTCCAGAGCAGGGTTTTCACACTACAGGGTTCTAGAGCAGGTTCTACAGCCTGTTGAAGGATGCTCTAGAAGCTGCTGATAGATGTTCTACAGTGCTCTAAAGCAGGGTTCTAGACAAGGTTCTAGATGAGTTTCCACAGGCTGCTGTATGCAGTGGTACTAGATCTTAGAGGTGAGAGGGACTGCAGGTCCGGTTCTTCTATGTTCCTGTCGATGTTGTCGGACTCTAACGGTACCGGTGAGTCTCAGGTTCTGGGCGGGTCAGGTGGTAGGTAAGCAGCAGGTTAGGCTCTTAGAACCACTTGATGAGTTGTAAGACAAAGCAGAAGATGGAGGATGTTTAGAACCACCTTGGTTCTCCAAACCTCCAGGGAACATAGCAGATCCAAAACAAGAGATTTATGGAGAAATCTTTGAAATGGGTTCTTGTCTTCATTCCAAAGAGGTTCTGCTCAAACACAACGCTGCTGAAGACCCAGATGGCCTGTCATTCCTGCAGCATCTCCAAGTTGTTTTCCTGTCCATCAGGATTCAGAAGGACTCCAGGACTCCTGATCCTCGGCTGCAAGTGGGTCACAGCAACACTGAGATGTTCTGGTTTAGAACAGAGAACCAGCTGGTTTGGTCCAACTGATCCTCTGAATTATCCTGTCTGCAGGTACCACATGAAGACCAGCAGCGGTACGGATTTGACAATCAGCGGCTGCTCCTTCGAATGCGAAAAGGAGGTGCAGGTCAAGAGGTGTTGCCCGGGTTTCTGGGGTCCGGACTGTATGGGTCAGTACCTTTGGGGTTTAGAATGTTTCACTCCTCATGGTAAAGCTTTAGCTGCTGATGTTTCTGGAGAACAACAGTTCAAGTCAGATTTTAATAAATCATTGATGTCAACAAGCCTGATCTAATCTGAAAAAAATGGACCAGAATCAACAGCGAAGGCCTTGCTGATACTGCAGAGCTTCACACTGACAGTGAACGGCAGCCTGACCCGTCTGCCTCATTTCCAGGTAACAGAGATTCAATCCTGCAGGATGCAGACCATCCTCCAGGAATCAGGACTTCCTTCCTCTCTGCAGACTGTCAGCAAGACAGAAATCTGCTGATTCATTCTTTGAGTCGCTCAAAAACTAAATCTGGACTTAGACCAGCCAGTTTCTAAGGTTGAACACGATCTGCTGAGAGACACATTCAGACGGGAGCCGTTTCCTTTGGGTCATAGACCCGAGGAGACTCTGAGTCTCTTAGTCCGGGTTCTACCATCTCCACAGGGAAAATCCTCCTGGTTCTGTTCCATGTTCACAACACTGGAAAGGTGATGACATGAAGATAAAAGGGAGCAGAGGACAAGGACCAGATTAGATTAACAGGAAGGGGGGGGGGGGGGTGGTAGTGATCCGCAAACTGGTGTTGTCAGCTTCCTGTGTTTTTGTTTCAGAGTGTCCTGATCGGGCTGACAGACCCTGCAGCAGCAGAGGGGTCTGCTCCGATGGGTTAGGAGGGAACGGCACCTGCAGCTGCCAGGTGAGACACACACAGATCTGAGTTCTGCTATGTTTGCGAGGACTTTCTATTGACGCCCATTTATTTCACCCTGAGCCTACCCTTTACCAACACATACCTACTGTAACCCTCAACCCAAAAAGGTAAAGTTTCCATTAGTTGACTGACCCCCATGAGGACCTGTAAGGCCTGATAATGTCCTCATATTTCTGGGAAATTGATCATACAGGTTCCCACAAGGCCCCACCACTGACCCATGAGGAGCCAATCTGGTACCAGCAACCTTAAAGGAAAAGTCCAGTCAGTAAGGAATAATCAATGGATCATTATTTATACCTAAAACTAATTCGGGATTTAATGAGTTTAGAATTGATCAGTAAAAAATTTTAAAAAATGGTTTCCGTTGCAATCACTGAGCTGGGTTTGGGTCTAACCCCTCCCTCCTGCCATCTTCCAGCAGTGACGTCACGGTGCGGTAAGCCTAGCACCATTCTCCCCGCTTTACAAGCAAAATCAATGGGAACTACTAGACACATCTGCAATCAACAACAATTATTGAAGATTTCCAGAGGACTTCACCATTGAAATTCACCAGAGCTATAGTGAAAATGACAATGCCCACGTGCATTGTCCCACGTGCACATTCCTGATCCTCTACGGA